CGAGAACTCTCAATTACTGAGCAAATTCATGCCCGAATTGACCCAAACCCGATGTGTCTCTTCCACCACAATCTTCACATCGGAATTCTTTTGCCCAACGTTGACTCCACAATGCCGATGTCGAATCAACGTCGATGTCAAATCCATGACAATGAACCACTCCAGAATCCATCAAAGCTTTATGCTCAAGTTCTCCGGAATCCACCAATGAACACCTCCATCTTTTTGTTAATAAAAGAACAAAACAACCTTTGATGATAGTTAATATGAAGCTCGTTATCAATTGATCACTCTCTATACATCAAGGAAACTCATATATAAACACTCTCCAATATAAAACACTTTGTTTTCTCTTCCTCTCTAAGAATTTGGGTGGGTTAAACCTTAAAAATAACAAACAACGCACTTTATACTAAACAGACCCATTCGAGCGCTCACTTTACCACTTGAGCGGTGTGACTAATGATGATGCTCACATATAGGCCAAGTGTTTGAGTGCAACATCTACTGCTCGAGCGGTAAAATTTGCATTCCAATAGTTTAGAACATAGGCATAGATATTGGATGAACCATTTCACCACTCGAGCGCACAAAAGACTACTCAATCGATCAAACAACTTTGACTTGGCTTACTTAGTCAGCGAAGTGGCAAATAAAGAGAGCTCAAAACTAGATATAGAATGTTAGCATAAACTCCCCTACTCAGGCACAACTCGAGTTGGATTTGCATTTACACTCTCATACCTCATAGATACAATAAAGTGAATAAAAAAACAACTGAATAGAGTTTTGTCCAAGATTTCCAATTACAAAAACCTAACACTTCTACAAATATTGTAATACAAGTTCCCCTTGCTTATCCAACAATTTTAATCTCAACCACTGACTATCTCAAAATAAATACACATTCCCAAACTTGTCATCTTACATTTCAACTAGTCATATGAAGTTTAGAGTAATAAATTGAGCCAATTTCATATTGACTTTATATCTACTTAATCTTAGTTTCGTTGTCTTTATATTTAGAGATGGATATCAAAAACATTGTCACTGAAATACACAAAGAAGCAGATATATATAAGAAAACATTTTGTATTATAGGGTTGGGTATGCATTGTATCAAGGATTGAGAAATGAGGCCCCTCATGCAACAAGAACATATATAAGGCATACACAATTAGCACTAGAAAAAGTTGATACAATGGCCTATGTTACCATCATTGTCTTAACATATCTTAGGCATAATATCAAACAATTAGTAGTCGAAACAGAGTCCTTATCATTGTAAATTTGCAATGGTTGGTCTTCCACTTGGTCAACGCAAAATCAGGAGTCGTTCTAACCCCACACATAATAATAGACAATATTTAAATAATATTATTCTTACCTATGTAAAGAGCACAACACACACAGGATCAAAATGCTACTAACCTATGTCCCAAACGTAGTAGGCGTTGTCGTTGAACCCATGATTACTTCTCTTTTCCAGTTGGATATGGTAGGGTCATTGGTTGTTGACAACAAACAAGCGTGGTGACAAGTAGATTTCTGGAAATTAAGGGAGCTTAGTGTTATGATTCCTATAACAGTATATCCCAATTATTCTTCTCAGCCAACTTGCATTGAAGGGGGAGAACTTGATTGGAGTATAACATGGCGGTGTGGGATTTGCAGGAGCATTGGTTGGCGCCGGATTGGATCCAATCAAAACCTAGTTAAACACTCCGACAGTTTTTCCTTTGGAATAGTATTAAGTTGTGTGCATGCTTTCTTGCTTTGAGAAACTTTAAGATAACCAAAACTGTTTGTGAGCAGCTTTAAGACAAGGATTGTTGAAGACAATTAAAACCTCCTGTCATCTCATTCTTGATAGAACTTGCTAAAAGTTCCTAATGTTTTGTTAACGATTTAAAAAGATCCAACATCTTGCAAAGTTTATATATAAATGAAGACAATCTAATGCAGATTGTTTGGGGGTACAAAATATAGACAACAAAACATAATTGTATGCTCACCATGCAAACCAAGCAATGAAAAAAAACACAAAAAAACAAAACAAAATAAAACAGGAGTTGAAAGTATGAAAGACAATTTTCTTTCTAATTGTTATTTCCCTTATTTTTTTTTCATTATGATTATTATTTTTTAATTCATTTTATCAGTATGTTTATCTCATGCTAAGTTTTAGCATGCCATGATGATTGGAAATGTTCTTACATATATAACATTTTATGTATGATTTTTTTTTTTATGGGTAATTGTTATTACTTTTCTTAATGTTTTGAATATTTTCAAATTATAATTTCTATTTAAAGACTGCAAAATATCAATTGATTTGGAGCCTTTTAAGATTTATTAGCAAATAGCTATAGAATTAAATGACCTTTAATATGGAAAGACTTTTCTTCTTTCATTAATTTTTTTCATTTATTTTAGGATAATTAGAAATTAGATCTGAAGTAGTAAGAAAAAATTAAAACCAGTGCTGAAAGGTCATGCAAACCTTAATGGTCCTCCCTTATGGATCTGATGTGCCTCTGTGCTCATTCATAAGCTCCCAAGCCAAGATTGTTGGATCATTCACGTAAAGAACTTCAGTCATGGTGTTACATCTATTAAGAATGATATGCAAATTTATACATAAATAAAAGTATATTCAGTAAAGCTCATTTCTCATAAAAGGAAAATGGATAGAGTAAAACACAACTTGAGTTTGAAAAGATCAAACATAAAAAATAAATAAAAACAGAGGATGTGTCTTTATTACTTACCTTAACATGGTTCTTTTAATATCCTTCAATAATAGGTTTTTTAAAGAAATCATCATGAGATGACAAGTATAGCCCTTGATTTTTAGCTCAGTTCACATATTGTTTCTTTGCTCCAAAGTTGTCATAGTTACTCGCTAAACTCATTACAAGTTTGATTACATACCTTTTGGCCTCAGCTACTAAAAAATCCATCCAACCCGGTTAAATTAAACCAACAAACAGAATATGAGGTCAAGAGGAAAAAGATAAAAAGACAACAACACTTGACCATAATAAGTTGTCTCTTATGGGCATTTCATCAAACACATGGTGTACGGAGTTTTTCTATACTAACAAACACCATGACATCAACATTGGCAAAGCCAAAAAATTGGAAACTACAAGGTATAACTGTCTCCCTCAACCACATACACACAAATATATAGTGACTTGTGTAATGTATATATGCATGCATACACACATATACATGCATGCCACCTAAACCATGAATTGAGGAATAGGGAGATCAACAAATTGTGATTGAACAATAGAGTATAGGGCTTTGATGCACAGATGAACAATCACTTTGTCAATTTAGCATCACAGCTGTACATCAGTTTCAGGAATAAACAAAAATTGTACTAACCAAAAAATATAAAATTAGACAGAACAATAAAGATAAAAAAAAATAAAAATGAGAGCAAGTCTTTTACTGCAAGTCTTTGTTCACTGTTCCAGTTTACAATATTAACAATTGTGAAGAAGAAGACTCCAGTTGTAATTTCGTATGAGCATCGATCAAGGAGATTAGGAACATAACAAATGGTGACTTCCTATCGGCTGGAAAGTTGGTTATGAAGCCTCAAATGGTAGTAAATGGCTAGAGAGAGAATACGGTAGGGTAGAGAAGAAGATAATGCGAATGCCAGTCCACCAAATGGTGCAAATGGAGAATGACACCTGAAGCACAGGTGTAATCTCGAGTTTGCTGCACCTGGCACATGAAAAAATGTTGGAAAGGAGAATATTCAGCTGAGATTTATTGCTGATCTCTAGGGATTGCCTAGTTGCATGTCAACTCTATAAATAAGAAAAATTAGTTATATGACAGCTAGCTATGTGATAGCTGTATGATTATTTAGTTCCTGATTTAGTGCCTTGTATAAATAGTGTACTTGTTTATCATTCTAAAAATATAAAATTGAGAACAATTCTCTCCCAATTCCTTGTTGTTTACTTGGTATCAGAGCAGGAACTTTATTTCCGACTCTTTTCTGTATTCACAAACAAATAATTATTGTGACTTATTCCTTGTAATTGAAACCTTCGCCACTCATGATGTCTGGATCCAAGTCTACTGAAAATCTTGGTCTTAATTCTGACTCGCACTCTGTTCAAATAACTATTATATGCCTTAATGACAATTTTTTGCGCTAGTCTCAATTAGTGCGTATGTATATTCGAGGGCGAGGAAAGATTGGGTACCTGACTAGTGATACAAAAGTGCCTGATTTGAAGGATACGGCTTATGCTACTTGGGATGCAGAAAACTCTATGGTTATGGCCTGGCTTGTTAATTCCATGGATGAAGACATCGTCTCTAACTATATGTGCTATACAACTGCCAACAAACTCGAGCCTAGTATTCACGAGATGTATTCTGACCTTGGCAATCAATCCCAAATGTACAAACTGCAATTACAACTTGGAGAAATTCAACAAAGGAGAGACAATGTCATCAAATACTTCAATACTTTGACAAGGCTATGGCAAGATTTGGATATTTTCAATGATTATGAATGGAAATCTCCAGCAAATTGCAATCACTACAAGAAGACAGTGGAAAACAATCGTATCTACAAATTTCTCACTGGCTTGAACTTAGAATTTGATTAAGTAAGGGAATGGGTCCTTGGTCGCAGCCATCTTCTTTCACTTGGAAAGGTATTTGCTGAAGTTTGGAGGAAGGAAAGTCGTCAAAGTGTTATGCTAGGACTAAGGGGGGCTGGGGCACCAATTGAAAATTCTACCCTAGTTGCTGTTGATGCAAATGTGAGCTGAACTTCTAATAGCCAGCGTAGAGCCGAGGACAAGCCTCGGATTTGGTGTGATGTCTACAACAAACCCCACCATACATGAGAGACATGCTAGAAGATTTAAGGCAAACCTTCCAATTGGTAAAGCAACAAGCCTGGAGACCGACCTACTAGTGCAAATGAGGCTTATGTTGGTGCCTTCAGTAAAGAGTAGATGGTTTATCTTCTGAAGCTGTTGAAATCCAATCCAGACTCTAGTATTCCTAGTGTTTCTCTAGCTCAAATAGGTAGCAACTCTAGTGCTTTCTCTTGTCATTCTAGTCTTACACCTTGGATCATTGATTCAGGTGCATCTGATCATATGGCAAATCTCTCTCATGTATTTCATTCTTATTCCCCTTGTTCTAGTCATAAAAAAGTTAGAATTGTAGATGGAAATCTTTCATCAATTGCAGGGAAAGGTTCTATCAAACTTTCTAACAAAATCACCCTAAAATTTGTCCCTCATGTCCCTAATCTTGCTTGTAATCTCTTATCTATGAGTCAACTCTCTAAAGATTCTAATTGTCGCGTTATCTTTTGTGATTCCCACTGTGATTTTTAGCATCTGAGCACGGGGATGATGATTGGCAGTGCTAGAATGATGGACGGTCTCTATTATTTTGATGACAACTTCCTCCGTAATAAACAAGCTCAAGCTTTCCAGTTCCTATTCTTGATCCTTCCACATCTAGTAGTCAGGGAATTGGTAGTCACAATAATGAAAACAAGGGAAATACTAGCCTACCATTGCCGAACTTAGATGACGAACAAACATGAGGAGAAATACTAAGGCATGATCTCATCAATCCTACCTCAGAGCTTGGTGTTTACACTTGAAGGGGTACTCATCAAACAAGTAAACACTTGCCTACAACTCTAGCACAAAACAGATCACTGTCTCCAAGCGATGATCCATCTATTACTCAAAGGTAACTCTAATCCTTCTTTGTCAAATTCCACTCCTACTGCTTCCGATCTTGATGTATCTATAGCACTTATAAAGGGAGTTCGAACCTGTATAGAACATCTTATTGCTAAATGTGTGTCTTACCATAAGCTTTTTAAGTCTCATAAAGCTTTTACCTCAAAAATCTCCCATCTATTTATCCCGAGAACCATTCAGGAAGCCCTGGATAATCCGGATTGGAAATTAGCAATTTTGGAATAAATGAATGGTTTGAAAAAGAATGAGACTTGGGAAATTGTTAACTTGCCGAGGGACAAGAAAATAGTAGGATGCAAATGGGTGTTTACGGTTAAGTGTAAAGCTAATGGAAGTATAGAAAGGTACAAGGTGCGTTTAGTGGCAAAAGGTTTTACACAAACATACGGAATTGATTACCAAGAAACTTTTGCTCCAGTCACAAAGATTAATTCAATTTGTGTTTTACTATCCTTAGTCGTTAGTCTTAACTGGCCCCTTACACCAGCTATATGTAAAAAAACAAATTCTTAAACGGGGATTTGGAAGAGGAAGTCTTTATGAGCCTACCACCGGGATTTGAAGAACACCTTGGTAAAGGGAAAGTGTGTAGACTAAGAAAATCCCTGTATGGCCTCAAATAATCTCCTGTAGTATGGTTTAAGCGATTTGGGAAACCCGTAAAGGCCTAGGGATATACACAAAGTCAGGCAGATCACACTATGTTCTATAAGCACTTAACATAAGGAAAGATAGCTATTTCAATTGTTTATGTTGATGATATAGTATTAATGGGTGACGATCATGTTGAGCTCAAAAGTATTAAGATAGTCCTTGCTGATGACTTTGAGATCAAGGACTTGGGAGTCTTAAAACATTTTCTTCGAATAAAGTTTGCCAGGTCTAAAAAGGGCATCATTATGTCTCAACAAAAATATGTGTTGGATCTTCTTGAAGAGACAGGTCTACTCGGTTGTAAGGCAACAGAGACACCAATTGAACCTAATTTGACGCTCTAATCTGCTAAACCCGAAGATGTAAAGAACAGGGAACAATTTTAGAGGCTAGTTAGTAGACTGATTTATCTATTGCGTACTCGCCCAAATATAGCTTTTGCAGTGAGCATGGTAAGCCAATTTATGCACTCACCAGGTCCAACACACTTCAAGGCAGTGTACAAAATCTTAAAGTACTTAAAGGGATCACCAAGGAAGGGCCTGCTGTTTGGAAAACATGGTCACCTACAAATTGAAGTATACACAAATGCTAACTGGGCTGGGCGACAGAAGGTCAACCTCTGGCTACTGTACTTTTGTTGGAGAAAACCTTGTTACTTGGTGTAGTAAAAAGCAAAATGTAGTGGCAAGAAGCAATGTTGCAGCCGAATTTAGATCAGTTGCCCACGAAATTTGTGAGGTGTTATGAACTAAGAGAGTCTTAGATGAACTTAAGGTCTCAAGTCCCTCTCCAATAAAGGCATACTGTGATAACAAAGCAGCAATCTCAATAGCACATAACCCTGTTCTTCGTGACAGAACCAAGCACGTTATGGTAGACAAGAACTTCATCAAGGAGAATATAGAGAATGGGCAGATTTGCATGACCTATGTACCAATTGAAGAACATATTGCAGATGTTCTTACAAAGGGACTGTCCAAAAAACAATTTGAGAAATTGACAAGTAAGTGGGCTGTGGAAGATATCTTCAAACCAGCTTGAGGAGGAGTGTTGGAAAGGAGAATATTCAGCTGAGATTTATTGTTGATCTCTAGGAATTACCTAGCTGTATGTCAACTCTGTAAATAAGGAGAATTAATTCTATGATAGCTAGTTGTATGATTATTTAGTTCCTGATTTAGTGCGTTGTATAAATAGTGTACTTGTTTATCATTCTAAAAACATAAAATCGAGAACAATTCTCTCCCAATTACTTATTGTTTACTATCCCACCCAAACATAGCACACGTATACATCTCAGCTGTTCTTCAAGCGGTGCCGATAGCTACAAATGATATACCTCAGTTCAGATGCTATTCTATCTGCAGCCCGTGGTTATATTGGAATTTATATGCGTTAGATTCGTCAAATGTTTTCGTTCTTTTTATATGTGGTTATAAATATAGGCTAGAGCTAGCCGAGGAGCATTTCTCTCACCTTTTTCTTTTTTAAAGTTCTATTTAAATTTATAATCCACATACAATTTAAGGTTTAGTTTTTGTTGCAAACAATATTTCTCCTCCACATATTACGACTAAAGATGTACCAAAAAACTAAGTAGAAGTGGGATGACCATGAGAGCGTGGCAAGGGTAATTAGGTGTCAACCATCCTGAAGGCCAAGTATACATTTGTTCATGTGAGCATTACAGACTCTCCTATTGGTTCATCAATGAGATGGTCCCACTTTTTCCACCAAAAATAACCAATATTCATCAAATGTAATATTCATACACTCATCAAGTGTGTGGACAAATTTACACTCCTAAAGGACATCATGGTGATGATGTTGATGGAAATGTAGCAAATTTAAGGATTAATAGAAGAATTCAGAAATACATCATTTCTATGTCATTTTAATTTTTCAACTAAAATAATTTTTTAAAAATTCAAAAAACTTTGATTTCCTAAAAACTTCATAAACTTGAATTTTCAAAGTGAGTATTGAAGCAGCTAACCCCCCATTAGCACAATATTCTCCGCTTTGGGCGTACTCTCGCGGCTTTGTTCTTCCCTTAGGAAAGGCTTTGTGCTAATTTGAAGGAGTTAGTCAACTTATGTAGTGGAGTGTGGTTTACTCACGAAGCGATGTGAGATGGACACCCATTGGGCTCCTAGATAGGTCCCTGGTTGACTGGTTTCCTGAGAAGGGAGTTCCCACAGATGACACCAAATGAAGCAATCAACCCCTCATTAGCACAATATTGTCCGCTTTGGACATACCTTCACGGTTTTGTTCTTCTCTTAGGAAAAGGCCTTGTACTAATTTGAAAGAGTTAGTCAACTACTGTAGTGGAGTGTGGTTTACTCACGGAGTGATGTGGGATGGACACCCAGTGGGCTTCCACATATTTGTTCTTCCCTAAAGCGATGTGGGATGGACACCCATTGGGCTTCCATATATTTGTTCATCCCTTAGAAAAAGGCCTTGTGCTAATTTGAAGGAGTTAGTCAACTTATGTAGTGGAGTGTGGTTTACTCATGGGTCTATGTGGGATAGACAGTGGAGTGTTGTTTACTCACGGAGCGATGTGGGAAGAACACCAATTGGGCTCCTACATATTTGTTCTTCCCTTAGGAAAAGGCCTTGTGCTAATTTGAAGAAGTTAGTCAACTTATATAGCGGAGTGTGGTTTCCTCACGGGTCTATATGGGATGGACAACCATTGGGTTCCCACATAGGTCCCCAATTGATTGGCTTCCTAAGAAGGGAGTTCCCACAGATGACGTCAAATGAAGTAGCCAGCCCCCCCATTAGAACAATATGAAGCTTGGGTAACCAGCTTAGGGTATGATAAAAGATCACCCCTTATTTATAAATGAAGATTAGGGTTTACAAAGAAAAAAATTACAAGATGATCCCTGAGGGCATAAAATGATTACAGACCCTACTGACTTTCGGCTAATATAATATGCTAACACTTTCGGCTAATATAATATGCTAACACTCCCCCTCAAGTTGGTGCGAAGATATCTCTCATGCCCAGCTTGCCTAATATGTCATGAAATGGTTTATTCCCAATTCCCTTGGTGAGAATGTCAACAAGTTGTTCACCAGACTAGACAAAAGGAGTACAAATGGTACCACTAGTGAGTTTTTCTTTAATGAAGTGGCGATCAATCTCAACATGTTTTGTCCTGTCATGTTGAACGGGATTGTGAGCGATGTTGATGGCTGCCTTATTATCACAGTATAACCGCATGGAGTCCGTCTGAGCAATACCTAGATCACTCAACAATAATTTGATCCATAAAAGTTCACACACACCTTGTGCCATAGCTCTAAACTCAGCTTCTGCACTTGACCTGGCAACCACATTCTGTTTCTTACTCCTCCAAGTAACTAGGTTGCCGCCGACAAATGTTTGCTTCCCATTCATGTTGAGGATGATGATTGACTGACCGACCTAATCTATCCTTTCTTATGATATTGATGTTTTTTTTTTTATGTTAAGACATATATTAGTATTCGTTGGATACAGCAACAGCAATATCAGGACGGGAGTGAGATAGGTAAATGAGCTTACCCACTAATCGTTGATAGCTCCCCCTATCCACAACTTCTCCTCCTTCATCATCTCCCAATTTTTGATTGGGTTCCAGTGGGGTGGCACATGCCTTGCAGCCAAGCATCCCAGTTTCCTTCAACAGGTCAAGCACATATTTTCTCTGTGAGATAAATATCCCATCCTTAGAGCGAGCAACTTCAATTCCCAGAAAATACTTCAAGCTTCCCAAGTCTTTGATTTCAAACTCTTTGGCTAAATATTTCTTCAACAGAGGTATTTCCCCACTATCATTGCCTGTAAGAACTATGTCATCTACATATACAATAAGTGCTGTAGTCTTACCGCGTGAGGAATGTTTCACAAATAATGTGTGATCTGCCTGACTTTGTTTGAAGCCATATTTAAACATAGCCTGAGTGAATCTCTCGAACCAAGCCCTTGGAGACTGTTTGAGACCATATAATGACTTCCGTAGTTTGCATACTTTGCCTTCTGTTTGATGATCCTCAAAACCCGGAGGAATGTCCATATATACTTCTTCTTCGAGGTCACCATGGAGAAAAGCATTCTTGACATCAAACTGATAAAGTGGCCAATCTAGATTAGCTGCTAGAGAGAGAAGTACTCTGACTGAATTCATTTTAGCCACTGGTGCGAAGGTCTCCTGATAATCAATGCCATATGTCTGAGTAAACCCTTTTGCCACAAGTCTTGCCTTGTAACGCTCAATAGACCCATCTGCTTTGTGTTTCACAGTATATACCCATTTACAGCCCACAGGTCGTTTGCCCGTAGGTAACTCAGTTAATTCCCAAGTGCCATTCTTCCTAAGTGCTTTCATTTCCTCAATCATGGCTAGTTTCCATTCAGAGGTAGCAAGGGCATCCTGAAAATGGTTAGGAATGCTAACAGAGGAAATATTGGACACAAACGCTCTATATGAGGATGACAAATGAGAGTATGATACAAATTGTGAGATAGGATGTTGAGTACAAGATCTCACACCCTTCCTCTTGGCAATAGGAACATCAAGATCAATGGACTCACGAGATTCAAAGTTACCTAGACTCTCATCAGAAGCAGGAGATGGCAGTGGAGTAGCAGAAACGGTCCCGTGTATCCAGTAAACTTGTTTTCTGTCTATGTCCCGGACATAAACATTCCCGTCCTTATTCTTGGTGACAGTGGGTTCTATAGTTCCAGTAAAAGAGGGGGGTGCAAGAACAACTGGTTCCACCATAGGAAGTACAGTAGTAGAGGGTGGTGCAAGAGCAACTGGTTCTACCATAGGAAGCACAGTAGGAGAGGGTGGTGCAAAAGCAACTGGTTCTACCATAGGAGGCACAGGACTCACTTCACACCAAGGCTCCCCCGGAAATGAGGACGGTGACACCGAAGAGGACAAGAAATAGGACTGGGACTCAAAGAAAGTGACATCCATGGACACAAACCACTTACGAGAAGTAGGGTGGTAACATTTATACCCCTTTTGAGTAGGAGAGTAACCAAGGAAAACACACTTGAGGGAGCGAGGGTCCAACTTACCACGAGAGGGAGAGTGATTATGGACAAAACAGACACAACCAAATATTTTGAGAGGAATAGAAAATAAGGACCGAGAACCGAGGAGGACGTGAAGCGGAGCCTGTTTGTCCAAGACCTGGGTAGGGAGACGATTAATAAGATGGGCAGCGGTGAGAACAACGTCGCCCCAATAGAGTCGAGGCACATTCATAAAAAAACACATGCACCGAGCCATGTCAAGAAGATGCCGATTCTTGCGTTCGGCCACCCCATTTTGTTGAGGGGTATTGGTGCAAGAGGTCTGATGGATAATGCCATGAGTAGAGAAATATTGTCCTAACCCAGAATCTATGTATTCCCCACCATTATCAGAACGAAATATTTTGATAGTGGCCTTAAACTGAGTACAAATCATCTTATGAAAAGTGCGAAACACAGAGAAAACCTCACTCTTCTCTTTCATGAGATACACCCAAGTAGCACGAGAAAAATCATCAATAAATGTAACAAACCAGCGATGACCTTTCACAGACAGAACACGAGAGGGGCCCCAAACATCAGAATGTATTAATGAAAAAGGAACTAAGCTTTTATTCAAACTGGGAGCAAAAGACGCTCTATGTTGTTTTCCAAGTTGACAAGATTCACAAAGAAAGTCAGACACATGATGATTTGCGAAATTAGAAGGAAATAAATGCTTAAGTAAATGAAATGAGAGATGCCCAAGACGCCGATGCCACATCCATACATCAGCGGGGGTAGTAGAAGACGTGGTGGTAGAATAAGCAAGTTTGTCCGGTTGATCTAGGAAGTAGAGACCATTTTCTGCACTACCACTGCCAATCGTCCTCCCCGTGACAAGGTCCTAAAAAAGACAATGATCAGGAAAAAACGTCACACAACAATTCAAATCATGGGTAAGACGACTTAAGGATAACAGATTAACAGAAAACTTGGGAACATGGAGAACAGAAGATAGATGCATGGTAGGAGTGACTTGGACTAAACCTTTTCCAGAAATAGAAGAAACAGTTCCATCAGCAATCCTAACTTTGTCCTGACCTGAAGAGGGCTTATAGGCAGAGAAAAGATCAGAGGAGCCAGACATATGATCTGAGGCACCAGAATCAATAATCCAAGGCAAAGATGTATGACACAGGAAAGCACAAGGAACAGAGATCTGCCTGACTTTGTTTGAAACCATATTTAAACATAGCCTGAGTGAATCTCTCAAACCAAGCCCTTGGAGACTGTTTGAGACCATATAATGACTTCCGAAGTTTGCATACTTTGCCTTCTGTTTGATGATCCTCAAAACCCGGAGGAATGTCCATATATACTTCTTCTTCGAGGTCACCATGGAGAAAAGCATTCTTGACATCAAACTGATAAAGCGGAGGAGTAGACAGTAATGCGGAACGGTCAGTAGAGACAGGGGGCATCATAGCAGACCGGCGACTCTCCTTATTTTGTACATAGGCAAATGCCTCCTGAAGTGAAGGAAGAGTATCCATACTCAGAACTCGACCCCTAACTGGATCATACTCTACATTTAGGCCGGCCAAAAATTTAAAGACCCGTTCCCGTGCGATGAACTTTTTGTACCCGATAGAATCAGTAGGGCAAACGGGCTTATAGTCTTCCAGGTGGTCAAGGCGTTTCCAGCCGTTGGTGAGGAAAGTGAAGTATTGAAGAACAGTCTGCTCCTCCTGAAGTGAGCTCTCAATAGAGCGCCGCAACTCAAATGCCTGTGAAAAATTCCCTTTGCGGGAATAGGTAACAGCCACAGCCTCCCAAACGTCCTGGGCAGTCTCCATAGACAAGTAGCCCTCACCAAGTTCTGGAACCATCGAATGGATAAGCCAACTCATAATTAAAGAGTTGGTAATCTCCCATTGGTCATAACCTGAGTCAGTGGTACTAGGTGCCTGTATCCTGCCATCAACATATCCCATCTTCCCTCGGCTCTTCAAAAACATAGTCAAACTTTGAGACCATGCTAGGTAGTTTTGACCATTAAATAGAGAGGTGGTGATTTTCAAACTAGGGTTGTGGTTCTCAGTCATGGTAGTAGGTAGAATGGGACTTTTACTCTTTGGTGTTTGAGAAGAAGGGGACACACTGGTGGAATCTGTCATGGATACGATACTACCGAACCCGCAACAAAACTAGTAGCAATCACAAACCTGGAAGGTGGTAGTGATATAATAGGCAGAATGACCACTATAAAGATATAACTAAATTTAAGAAACCATTTTTTATTTTTATTTTTATTTATGTATATATCAAGATATCTACATGGATTTATATATATATATATATATATATATATATTAGTATATATATATATTTATATATACACTAGGTCTGAGATCATACCACAGTGAGGACGACGAGTGACGAAGTTGAGGACGACGAGTGCTGAGGACGATGAGGGCGAGGAAGACGAGTGACGAACGTCTGGAGGAGATCGACGAGCTGAGGAGAAGACGACGACGAGCTGAGGAGCTGAGGAGATCGACGAGCAGAGGAGAAGAACGAAGACGAAGCAGATGATCCAATCGGCTGATGAAGATGAAGCGGCGTGACAACAGTGACTGACGATCGACCCAGCAGATGATCCAAATAGGTACGTTTTGAACCCTAACCCTAGAGGTGTAGCTCTGATACCATGAAGCATGGGTAACCAGCTTAGGGTATGATAGAAGATCACCCCTTATTTATAAATGAAGATTAGGGTTTACAAAGAAAACAATTACAAGATGATCCCTGAGGGCATAAAATGATTACAGACCCTACTGAATTTCGGCTAATATAATATGCTAACACTTTCGGCTAATATAATATGCTAACACAATATTGTCTGCTTTGGGCATACCCTTACGGCTTTGTTCTTCTCTTAGGAAAGGGCCTTGTGCTAATTTGAAAGAGTTAGTCAACTTATGTAGTGGAGTGTGGTTTACTCATAGAGCGATGTTTTTGTTGAGTGATATCGGAGTTTGGTTGACAAATAGTCACCTTGGGGATAGCTTGGAATTGAGTATGAGAGTTGTAAGGTTGTAAGTGCCTTAGAGGACTAGTGAGCATTGAGTCTCATGTTTGCGAATGTGAGCTTGTGGTAACCGGTAGGGGTGAGCATGGTCCGGATTGGACCGGATTGGGGTAAAACCAGGACTAATCCGTTATCTACGGTTCCTAAAAAATTGGAACCAATCTAATCCATTTAAAGCGTGGTACCAATCCGAATCAATCCATTTAAACACGGATTGGACCGGCTTAGGACCACGGATTTACATAATTAAATAACAAAAAAATATATATAACACTTTAATTTCATAAAAATATAAATATAACACCATATTAGTTTCATAATAGCAACATGTCTTTTCATAATAGCGACATGTTGTTCTAGAATTTAAACAATCATAAGAAAACTAGTTTCACCATAAATATTTAGACCATTACAAATTAACGCTAAAAACTAGCAAACAAAAGTAATAAAAGAAGATACTATGCGAGTTTATGTTTGGATTGAAGTTTTATATGAAATAAGAGAAGATACTATGGAAGAGGGTGTATAATAAAAATATAGACTATTTGTATACGATCCGGATCGGTTCCAATCCGAAACCGTGGGGTTCAATTCGAAACCAATCCGTGAACTACGGATTTTTAATTTTTCAATCTGGAACCAAACCACGAATTCAAAAAACCAATCCAAACCTACTGGATTGGACTAGATTGAATCGGATTACGGATTTCACGGATTCCTTGCTCAGCCCTAGTAACCGTGTTGGGATCACATGTTGGAGCCTTAGTTTTCTTAGGCGCTTTTGCTCCAGTTAGTGATTGGTGATTGTGATGGGATGAGACTGCTAAGAGATTGTGAATTTTCTTTGTGCTTTATTGTATTATTAGCACAGTTGTTATTTCTATTAATTGTCATTATAGAAATGTTGTGTATGTGTTGTGGCCTCGTTATAAGAGCGATGGGTGTTGTTGGGTGTCAGTTGAGATTTTTCAGTTGGTATGTGGCAAATAATTTGGAAAATGAATTTTTCCTTGTGTTGTGGCCTTAGATGGCATTATCAAACTGAGAATGTTGTAAATTTAATCTAAGTTGTAATGAGGGATTACAATATGTAGCTCATCCAACCTATAAAAAAAAATTTAAAAAAAAAATGAATCTAACAAATCATGAGAATGTGGATGTTTGTGTTATGAGTAATACTTTTTGTTTTTGAAAAATATTTACAAAACTTTTAAGCTTTGCGAAAGAAATCGAAAATGTATTTTGATTGTGGGCAATGCAAGTTTGAGCACATTTTGGAGGATTTTATATACAAAAGCAAGGTTTTTTCAAGGATATCATAAAATATCTTTGTTTACAAGAATGTGTTGTTAATTGTTTTGGCTTGTGTGGTTGGGTTGTGTCGTGTCTTAACTTGGATTGCTAGTCATGGGTCAGAGCGGTAAGCTAATAGAAATACTGAGCCAAAACGCGAGAAATCATCTATAAATGTTATAAAATAGGATGCGTCATGTCGTGCCTTGACATTCATTGGTCCACAATTGTTGGAATGGACTAACTCTAACGGATAAGTAGCTCTAGAAGCCTTACCAAAAGGCTTTCTACATGCCTTTCTAGCTAAACAAGACTCATATATTGGTAGGATAACTTTGGCGAGAGAGCCCAGTTGCTCTTCTCTAGCCAATCTAGCCATTCTTTCTTGTCCTATATGGCCTAGTCTTGCATGTCATTTAATGGAATTAGATAATTATCAGAAGAAAAAGAAGATGCAACACAAATAAGGGAATTATTATTCAATTCTGATTCTAAATCTAACATAAAGAAATCATCCCTCAAACTACCATGACCATAAAACGTTCTACCAAGATAAATTGACAAAACTAATATCCTCAAAATGGAAAGAAAAACCTAACTTCAAAAGTGCTAAAACTGAAAGCAGATTATATCAAATAGTGGGTGCATGAAACACATCATGAAAGAGCAAGTTGCGCCCAGTATGCAACTTGAGCTGAAAGGTACCAACTCCTAAGTCTTCTTCTTGAGCTCCATTTCCCATTATTACAAAATTCCTACCAACCGGTATCCGACGATAATCTACAAATTCAGCCCGATCTCTAGCTACCTGTTTGGTTGCTCCCATGTCTACAATCCAACCAAGGAGAGAATAAGCAATAAAAACATGTAAACAAACAAATATATTTAGAGAGCTGGTAATAAGATGTACCTTCTTTGAATTTAATTTTGTTCACTCTCTTACATTAACAAAATACTTTATTATTATTGATTAAAATAATAACACCTACTATTTTAAGAGGTCGACCTCACTGTTTAACTTATGAGCAAAGTTGTTAATCCCATACCGGCCAACATATCATTTTTTCTATTGGTATGGTACATATCAGTACCAGCACATACCAGTGTACCATTTTGGATTTATCGCTATATATAATATATTTAAGAAAAACAATTATATTTACCTAGAAAACTTTATATACATAGTATGGCATTCAACACCAAACCATTAAAACATGAAAAAAAATGTTATCCAACAAGTATACATTAAAACATAAAAGGCAGAGAAAATAAACAATCTAAAAAAAATATATAATAATAATAATTAAAAAACAAATGCTGCAGATTTACAATAAATTATTGCACAATACTTTACCCCCTCAATTATAGATGATTGGTACTTCACCCCTCAACTAGAACTTGCTACATTTTACCCTATAATCCTCTGATTTGTATCAATCTCAACTTTCTGTTATGAACTCAGTACAAAAAAATGACATGTGAAATCTATATACCAATTTTGTGACAAAAATGCTTGTTCATGAGTTGATTTATTTAGATATATGCAAGAATTATGTACATAACTTATCTTCTGCTAAGAAAAAATATGCAAAAAAATATTGGTACACATGTCAATTATATTACTAAAGAGAAATATATATACACATCCCTCACACATACACACACTTGTATATACTAGTGGATGACCCATGTCTACGGACCTCCCCAAACAAGATGTAAGCATGCATTTGAGTTTTGAGTTTTTATTCTCCTAGGTCCCATTTTAGTTCCCAGATAATCGATTTTGATCTACGCTATGGTATCCTTGTGTGTACTGGTCTATATGTAAAAGTGATTAATACAAAACAGATTTATGTGAGTATCTTACCCTTGCAAGATTTAGAGGTTGACCCCATAGGAAATAAAGAAGAAAGACAAAACGAAAGCTAAACCGACCAAAGTACATATACTTCACATCCGAACAAACTCCACAAAATTTATTTAAGAAAAAAAAAAAGCAGATAAATAAGGGGGGAGCAATCTATGTTAGTCATACTATCTAGGCATAATTCATGCTACCCTCCAGATCATTGTTACAAATCTATTATCAGTGAATTCCCAACAATAACACTACCAATTAAATCTATATTATCCAGTATCCTTTTAGTACTTTCCCTCTTGCATATTATTTGACAATAAAACAAACACTTTGCTCAAACCAATCCAAAAAATTGCAGCCACAACATAACCCAAACCGACATCATATTGCATATACCCAAGCCAAATCTAACTATTACATCAATGTCTATATAAAAACCTGTTCCTTTTAGTGCTTAGAATAGATACCCACTAGGAGGTCGAAGACCTATCATCTCTATATACACACATTCATTATAGTTATACAACATTACAAAAATAAATAACTTAGTTAAGGACTCATAATTTCAAGAATCTACCTGAAAATAAGGCTTATCCATGACACAATAAATTGATATCTGCACACAAAACCAATAATAAATAATTGATAAGAGGCTACCATCATTATTCTTGGAAGAAGCTATAAAACTAAAAATCAACCATCTAACAACCATTTACTGTTTTTCAAATGTTGCAGAAGTAGAACCTAGAATTGTAAGGACAGGTCTGACAGCCTAAACTGATCATGGAAATAGAGGAATACTTCAAATCAAAATTGTTTCCTAAAAACTAGCCAAACTAAACGACTTTGAGAGCCATCCAATAGCCACCAATTGCTGTTGCTATAAATACCTGAAACACATAAACAAAGTGAAACAAATTGATCAAAGAAGAAGAAGCTAATACAGAGAAGAAAAAAAAATCCCATGTCACATAGTAGGCGGCAAAGTTTCTCACTGGTCAAAACTCAGAAGTATCTATGAAGCTTTAAACAAATTGCCTAATTTTCTTAGTTCTTGATTTATCATAATGCCCACCAAAAAAAAAAAGAAGAAGAAGAAGAAGAAGAAATAATGTTCATAATTGAAACTAGGAGCATGTTCAAAGTGATTTTTCTTTGAAAGAAAATCATGATGAAAGGTGGATAGAAGTGGGGAATTTATGGGAATGAGCAGTCTTTTCTATTGGCAAATGAGTTGTAGCAATCTCTCTGGAAGTAAGGCAAATCAAATATCCTTTTCACTCGAAGAAGGTTTTATTAAATATTCAAAAAGAAACTTGGGGAAGGGGTTACTAACATTTTTATACCAAAAAGATTAACTTGTCTTGTATCTAACACAAGTATAAGAGCAGAACTATTGCACCCTATTTTTTTATTTTTTTTTATATATATCTTGCTGCAGTCAAAATTCCAGTATTTCAAAAGAAAACAAGTGAACATTGAAGCTGTCAAGTGGGTCTCCAAAATGATTAATAACTAAATTAAAGCACAAAAACTGCCCACTGCATCATACTCCTAACATTTTTACACAATGCCATTGCCACCCAATAGAATATCATGTATCAAAATACACTCACACTAGTGAATGAACCCAACACATGCACAGGCCTCAACCTATTAAATATATGATAAAAACCTATATAAGAGAGGGGTCTAAATTAAAATCAACTTTCATGGCCAAATTACATAAAAATATAAACATGGCCAAAAAGAGTGATGACCATGATTAAAGGGTAATCTATATTGATGTCCAAAAAGAGGTGATCATGTTGGCCTATGCAGTTACTGCAAATTTACCTAAAGCTGAATAACACAATGTTTTGTAATTTATTTAAAGGGCTTAGTTCAAAACCATCGTTAGTACTTCTTTGAAAATCCCTCCACAAATACAAAAGTAAAATTTTCACTCAATGCGAAATTAAAATATTTCAGTTTATTATGTAATAAAAATCATTTAATTCTAAAAACAAAAATAAACCGATAAAAACTTATTGCATTCCTATCTTTTCCGGAAACTGAACTTATAGTTGGTACTAATATTGTTGACCACATTACCATTATGATGAAGAGTAATATCTATACAGTTCAACCCCGAAGTCCACTTGTGCTACCACATCAAAAGGAACTCCATTAAAGATGATTAGAAAATTCTAAATCCATTGCTTGGAGAATCAATAATCACATAACACAATTCACCTTGCTTGGTTTTGATTGATTTTTTGAAAATTGAGTTTTTTATTTTTTGTATTTTTTTGTTTTTAGTGAATTTTATTAATATTTTAAGTAAACTTTTTACTTTCTAGATGCACCTAAAAAGTACAATATTTGTGAATTTTTTTTTAAATTCAATAAATATGCAAGAATACGCAAATGTACTAAATTTTTGTATTATTATTATTATTATTATTATTATTATTCTTTTGTATTTTTTGTATTTAATAAAAAAAAATTTAAAAATTCACAAATATTTTACTTTTTAGGTGCATCTGAGTTATGTGCATTTAGAAAGTAAAAAAATATTTATTAAAATATTAAAATTTTTAACTAAAAATAAAAAAATACAGAAAACAAAAACTTAATTTTTTGAAACCAAACAAAGTGATTGCAACCCTATCACACCCAAAACAATAAATAATAATAATAATAATTCAATGCTCTAGATGTTAAAAATGTGCAACAGGGCTTTATTAAATAAGAAGTGGTATCGTCTGGCTGCACTATTGTTGAAGCTCTCAAGATGACTCAACAAAAAAAGCTCAAGAAAATAAGCTCCCGCAGAAAGAAATCTCTAATTTAAAAGAAAATTTGAACAAACTTAAGTTGGCGTCCATAAGGATAAACGGGATGGGATGAAACAGAGGAAGCTCATGTTGCTGCACTCCAGAAAACAATCTGCTGATTTACTTCTTGAATATGATTGACTCATAGAGGACAACCAAAATCTTAAGAGCCAAGTTTTAGGATATCAAACTTAAGAAATGTTTACAGAATTCCATGAAGTCAAGTTTTGGTGAATTAGTTTGAAGAATTCAACTTTTGATGAATTAGTTTCTGTTGGGGTTGACATTGGTCAAACATCTCCATAATTGCCAAGAAATCATCATGATTCAGCCCTTGTCACTGGAGGAAGATATTTGAGTTGTTGAGGTGAGGGATTGCCCAATGTTGCTGAAAATTTGTAACTTACTTGAATTTAGAAATTTTACCTTTTCATTATTTTATTTTATAGTATTTTTTTAAACAGGACTTTCAATATTTATCTTGGTTTTCAATCCTACTTAAATTGGTTGAGGTTGTCATGGTTAGCCTTCTTTTCGAACTCCAACTTAAGTTTGTTCAAATTCTCCTTTAAATTAGAGATTTCTTTCTACAGGAGCTCATGTTGCTGCACCTTCAGAAACAATCTGTTTATCTACTTCTTGAACATGACCAACTCTTAGAGGACAACCAAAACCTTCAAAGCAAAGCTCTAGGATACAGGAGAAATGTTTGCAGAATTCCAAGAAGTCAAGTTCCAATGAATTAGTTTGGGTTGGGGGTGACATTGATCAAACATCTCCATAATTGCAATTAAATCATCACAGTTCAGCCCTTGTCACTGGAGGAAGATATTTGAGTTGAGGAGGGGAGGGATTGCCCAATATTGTAGAAAATTTTGAACTTACTCAAAATAAAAAATCTTACCTTTTTTTTTTCTTTTTCTTTGGAACATGACTTTCAATACTTATCTTCAATATTTTTAAATTAGTTGAGGTTGTCTTGGTTTTTCTATCTTACATGTATTATATGAGGTAGTTCATGAGATTCGAAGTTTTTTTTTTTTTTTTTCCTTATATATGTTTCTTTAGCTTTATTTTTCTTGGTTAGATGCCCCTCGAATTAGTAAATAATGATGTGATGGGGCCATGAAAGATAATATGCACTGCTGAAATAGCCATTTTAGGTTGTGAATTTAGCAATTTCCAATATATAATGGATAACATGATTTGTCACGAGTATATTTGTGATAAACTTGAAAGTGATTGATCAATCACAATGATATCATCAGCTTCCATGAAACAAGTGACAATCATCTATATGCGTAGTTGGATGTCAGATATCGAGTAAGTTATACAAGCCTCATTTAAACACTGCTACTAATTGCTTGCATGAAAAAAAGTGCTATCTTACTGTGGAGGGTTTGCGTGTGTGTGTTAAATCCTCACTATACTTTATTGTAACTGAAAAATACCTACGATTTGCCTCATGGTGTCAATATATGTTGCTTTCAAGCACAAGTAAAAACACACAATAGCTCACATTTCTCAAAAGCACATCTTTTATGTATATTCCTGCATAATCTCAAATGTTATCAATTTTGGTACATAGATCAAATAATACAATATAGGCAAAAGGTCAAATTCAAGCATGAGTAAATCCCATTAAAGACAATCATGACAGCAGAATGAAATCCATCATATTCTGGAAATATCATCAGAAGGCATATTAGAAACTTGGGGTGAAAACAAGAAAATACTAAGAGCATGATCTGGGGAACATCTATCTAATTAGTTAGATTCATGCAAGAATACATCCATGCTTGGAATTCTTCCTCGAAGACTTCTAACCCAAACCCCTATTGCCAAATCATGCAAGAATATGGCCAGACTTACAAATTCTTCCTCGGAGACTTCATAAACAAACAACTGTTGTTATAAGGATGAGCCATTTGGTTTTCTAAGAACAGTTGACATGAATCTCATATTTTCAAGGATGCACATGTAAAGTGCATAAGTAAAAGGTAAAAGTAGAGAAGATTGACAAATTAATCCACATTGAAAGAGCATACTTGAGCATCGTTGTATATTCTTCTCCATTTGCTGGACTCATTCCTTTAATTGAAGTGATTGTATTAGGGTCCCTCAACCCTTGTTTGTAGAGCATAGCCTGTGCGTCTAGGCCACATGGAAAGAAAAAGGGCCAATGCTAGTAGGTAGGCTTAGGTAATTATAAGTCATTGTCTCTTGGTGTTATGCTGCTTCAAGACATTCCTTTGAAGTTGCAATATCCACCCCATCTTTCAGCCATCAGCTTATCGCATGTGACAATGTTTTTTTGCATGGTACACCTTTGGTTTGAGAGTTGAGATGCAAACCTAGCAAAGCGAACACTATCCTTTGCATGCCTTTGTTACCAATAGTCACCAGATGAGCAAACTCCATCTTTGAAGTGATGAAATTGCTTCAAATACTACACAACGTCTCTCTATACGCATTTCACAATTTTTGAGGTGAACTTAGTTGCTTCATGGCAGCACCACCACAAACTCTTAAGGTCTTTCATGATCACTAAACTAGTTCCTGGTGCTATGTTCTAGAGCCCAAAAGCAAGTCTCTCATTGTGATTACACAGCATCCTCACTTTGACTTCCTCTTCAAGCTCGTGCAACACAAAGTCAGTATTGGGTCATAACCCATGTCCCTCATATATTGTTCTAGCTTCTCCAAAATTTTCACAATTTGTTCATATTGTGGATGGCTCTTATCCTCCATAACAAATGCATGGAGCTCCCCACTCACTTCCACAACACTGTAACCAGGTACTTTCTTTATCCCTGTTTCTTTCATGACCTTCCTCACCCCAGCTACTTCTTCCCAGTTCCTTGTTGTGGCAAAGAAGTTCGAAACCAGAGCATAAATTCCAGGGTCATCCGGGTTTAACTCAAGAACCTTCTTTGCGGCCATCTTACCTATCAACAGCTTCCGATGAATTTGGCAACCTGCTAAGAGAGCAACCCAAATAGCAATCCCTGGTTCATTTGTCATGGAACCTATCAAATCATGAGCTTCTTCTACCAGTCCTGCTCGAGCCAAAAGATCGACCATACAAGCATAATGCTTCTCACTTGGTTGGATCTTAAAGTCATTAACCATGAGATCAAACCAGTATCGACCTTCTTCTACTAGACCTGAATGACTTAAGGCTGAAAGAAGAGAAGCAAAAGTTGCATGGTCTGGTTTCAAGTTTGTCTTTGTCATTTGGAGGAAGAGTGAGAGGGCTTCCTTGCCATGTCCATGGATTCCATAGCTAGCAATCATTGCATTCCAAGAAATTGAGTCCCTAGTACTTATCTGATCAAACAAGACTCGTGCGCAAGAAAGGGATCCACATTTTGAATACATGTCAATCACAGCAGTGCCTGAAACTTTGTTAAAATCAAGCTTTCGCACGATATATCCATGTATTGACCTCCCTAATTTCAAAAATCCAACTTGAGAACATGCTAGAAGTGCACTCACGAGTGATACTAAATCTGGTTTAAATCCAAAACTCTGCATCTCTATGAACAATTCAAGTGCATTTCCAGCAAAACCATTTTGAGCATATCCAGAAATTAAAGCACTCCAAGGAATGACATTTTTGTAACGTATTTTCTCAAATACACGAGAAGCAAGGTCCAAACGTCCAATCTTGGCATACACATCCACTAGGCTGGTTTGGAAAACTACATCCATAGGAAGATCTCTTCTAATCATATACCCGTGAACAGAAAGACCCATCTTTGAGTCCCCGAGATTTGCACAAGCCTGAACCAATCCTAGCATTACAACCCAGTCACCTTCCATTCCTTCCCTTTGCATCAGCCGGTAAACATTAATTGCTTCACTGGCATGACCAATCTGAGCAAAACCTGTTATCATTGTCGTCCAAGAAACAAGATCTCTTCTTGGCATCTTATCAAAGACTCCCATTGCTTCTTCCATCTTCCCACACTTGGCATACAAATTCAAAAGAGAAGACCCAACAAATATATCATATTCATATCCACATTCAACCGCTCGGCATCTAATTTCTCCACCCATTTCCAAATCCAACAAGCTGGTACAAGCCTTGAGTGCCAGAGTAAAAGTGGAGCTATCGGGTCTAACTCCTTCCAAATTCATTTTGCGATAAAGATTCACAACTTCAACTGGGAAATTTTTACGTGAATATGCGATGATCATAGCATTCCAAACATCTACACGTCTGTGGGGTAATTTATCGAACAGTTTACGGGCCAATTCAAGCTCCCCAATTCTATCATACGATGCTAATAGTTGGCCATTGGAAGTTCCAATGCTGAAGATTCCAGATACGACCATGAGAGCGTGGATTTTAACTATGGAGTCCCTGTGTTTAGAAGCTAAGAGGAGAGATTTTAGGCCCTTTGGCCATGGGAAGAACCACATCTATTTATACACATAGGAAGCTAAAACAAAACTTCAGTTATGGCCGTTAGTTAGTACATACACACTACAATTTACAAACTTGGATGGAAACGAGTTTATTTTTTTTATGGTTTGGTTTGATATAAGAAAAATGCTTGGGAACACTAATTAGTGCTCCCACTAATTAGGTGGCAGTGGGTCTCGCCATTAATGATGTGATGTTTTAGTCTTGGAGTTGTGTTTTTTTTTTTTTTTTTTTTACTTTTTTAATGCATTAGTGCTATTAGTGGTGATGTTTTTAGTGGGATGAATCATTGTTGTTGATATAAATTCTGGAGTTTGCAAGTGAGAACGTAGTCAATGTGGGGGGAAAAAACACAAAAAACGAAAAATAAAATCAGAGGGTGGGACTTGTATTCCTTAGAGCATCTCCACCCATGCTCTACATCTAGCGCTGTAAATGATGGCTGACCCAGGCCGTCTGGCTTTTTTTAGGTGGACCGGATCGGTTTACGAGTTGAAAAGTGGGAGGCCAGGCTTATTCATAATAGGGTCACGCTAGTGGGCCTGGCCTGGGCTCTGGGTGGTCTAGTTGAGCTTTTTTTTTTTTGAAAAGAAAGATAAATATTTATTTATGTAAATTATTTATTAAGGATAAAAAAAAAATTATATTAGAATATTTTATAATTAATGAGATTTTTGTTTGATTATGTTTATAGTGGTATTGTAAATTTCATTATATATAACTTATAGTTTTTTTTTTTTTTTTATGTACTTATAATTAAAAAAGTATGTAATTATTTAATTTTTTTCTTTCGAAATGAATAATTATATATATATATATAAATGAAACTTTCAATATTACAATATTAAATTAATTATATTATATTTATTGAATGAATAATTTTTATTTCAAAATGAAATAAAATATTACAAAAAATTATATTATTAAATAAAATAAGTGTAGATTATTGATGATGGTAAAACAATTGCATCACTATAGGTCAAGTACATCCCAACTAAGTTGACATACTCCGTCTCAATAATCTAGTACAAAAAAAAAATTAAATAGTAAAAAACAAATTGTTAATCAATTATCAGAGGAGACAGACATTTCAGTCGCATTGTCCGAGGATATGTCATCTAAATCATTTTGAATTCGCTTATTTTCACTATAATTTTGTCTTCTCATAAGTGCATGCCTATGATCTCTAGATATCATTAGTGCCTCAACCATTTGGGGTGAAAGCTTACTGTAGTAATCACTCAACACCCGTCCACTTACACTAAAAGTTGTTTCCGAAGGAACTGTAGAAATAAGAACGGTTAGTATATCACGGGCCATTCGTGAAACCACAAGCCACATAGTTTCATTTTGTTTACACTATTCCTGTCATGACCCGAACCCGCCCCTATGGGTTAAGGACATAACTGGCCAGTAATCACGAGATTACCTATGGTCTCAAACCAAATAAAACATATTTCAATAGAGTTAAGGGGCCGAAACGAAATCAAATTTAAAATTTTGTCCATAGAGCTGTGCTTACATAGTGTAGCAATATCATTCCAAAAGTATCTCATAATAACTCACACATACACATAGAGTTAATCTATATCCAGGAACTTTCAATTACGCAGTCCGCCAAACAAAACTCATATACAAAGGTTATCCAACGTTTTCGCCAACATAGCAAAAATATAACAAAAGAACAAAATGGAGAAAACAAGTCCCGTGCGTGAGACGTAAGGACTGACTCCTCAAAAATTTGACTGTCTCTCACATACTTCACCAAGGCTAGGTTTGGACATCTCTTAGCTCACCTACAGACACATGAATGAGAGTGAGCAAAAGCCCAGTGAATAATATCAAATAAAGAAAATACATGAACGGAATTTGAAATAAATACATTGGACGGTCTTAGGCCCAATTCATGTTTCTATTTAGTGTATCAAGTGACTACAGATCCAGACATATCAAACGGCCTCGGGCCCAATCCGTTCATTTCCGACAGCCTTTGGCCCATTCATTCATGTCCGACAGCCTTTGGCCCAATCATTCATATCTGACGGCCTTTGGCCCAATCATTCATATCCGACGGCCTTTGGCCCAATCATTCATGTCCGACGGCCTTTGGCCCAATCATTTATATCCGACGCCCTTTGGCCCATTTATTCATATTCAACAGCCTTTGCCCCAATCATTCGGCATAACGAATATTTGTCCATAATTCAAATTAACAGACTTATGGGATTCAAATAGGAGTAAGCAATTAGACAAATAGCATATTTCAAAATATATTTACTAAGATATTACTCACAGTGTTCTGCTAGTGGATTCGCCCTTGTGCTTGACCCTACACAATACATAACACATTATTGGGTCACAAGCTATTCAATCCGTTCCTAACTTATACATTCCTCTTAGGCCTTTTTCTTATCTTCTTGATTCATTTACAATGCTCAATGTATGCCTAAGAGTGCTTAGAGATGAAAATGAACGAAAAACGAAACATGAAACCACTTTTCAAAATTTCTGAAACAGGGCTCCCCTCTCGAGCGCGGTTTCTGCCGCTCGAGCGGACCCTCTTGGTCTGCAAAAGTACTGATTACTTCATATTTACACTCGAGCGTGACTTTGGACGCTCGAGCTGAAAATCAAATTACGTGGTTGGGCGCTTGAGCATGACTATTTCCGCTCGAGCAGACATCAATGTCTGCAAAAGTGCTGGGAACTAACATTTCACGCTTGAGCGACGCTTTCCCCGCTCGAGAGAACATGCCAAATTCTGGAATTTCCAAACCTGTTCTTGAAGCTCAAACTTGATGTTCAAAGGTTCAAAGCTCATGTTTTTTATACAAAAGCATGGAACGACAGCATATAACACAAGAATATGGGTAATTTGGAACCAATTGGCCAAAATCAAGGTCCACCTCATAATTTATCTTGAATTCTTTTTCATAATTTTCAAAACCCATGTACTCAATCTTCATACAATTTCCATATCCTTATCTATCATGCATGTCTCTCAATTCTTGACTTCATCTCTATTTCAAATGATACAAATGACACTTATAATCATGAAACTCATGAAAATTATGCATGCATGTGAGATTTGGTGCTCAATTCTTCTAGTTCAACACGATTCATGTTTGAATGTATAAAATCATCGCAATTATGCACATGCATGTCCATACAAGCTCCAAATTCATCAATTTTAACTCAAATTATGTTCTTGATTACCATCTAACTTGAATTCACAAAATTACAACCTCAAACTTATGAATTCATAACTAATTACTTACCTAGAAGCTCAAATCTTCCAAATTATGGTTAATTCTTGAGTTAATCTTCAAGATTTCCAAGTTTTTTGATCAAAGTCTCAATTGTCTTCACTCTCTCTGTCTAACCGACCCCCTCTCTCTCTCTCTCTCTCTCTAGAGTGATCCCAGCCAAAGGAGAGGAAAATGAGCTCAAAACATTCCTCATAAATACAAATAGGCCACTTATATATGTTGCCTAATCGAATTTGATTTAGGCTAAGTAATTGAGCTTAATTTAATCGTTCTGAATCTAATTATTTCGTTCCGAATCAATTTTCAATTAAATTTCACCATAAGCTTTAAAAATTACCCCAATCACAATGGCGTAGTCAATTTCGGTTTCTGTGGCCAATAAGGTCTTTAATTTTCAGTTTACAACAGTAAGTTGAACAGATTTTCCTACGGTGAACAGATATAAAGCGAAAACCACATATAATCATATAAATGGTCCCCAAAATCATATTAAATACATAATCACAATCATAATTAAGATTAATTAACATAACACGGGACAGGGTTATCACAATTCCAAAATGTCAAAATCATCGGAATCATCCACTAACGGGCTTTCCAAATAACATTGTAGTTCAAAACTACTTACGCTTGTTTGTTGAGATATTTTTCTACTTTTTATTACTGAAAAAATGTTTAATCTCCCGCCTCGAGATAAAATTGCTAGTATAGTGTGTGTAGGTGTATTTACAGATGCAGTTGTCCTGTATTCTTCAAATAATCTTTTGCATGTTTGCATCATAGGGGCAAACTATGTTTGATCAACGAAAATACGTTCTAAAAATTCTTGTAAACCAATTTCTTTACACCTAGGATCAATTATTATGGCTAAACCTAAAAGATGAGGCAAATGATCAAAATATTTATCAAATTTTGCTTTCATTGAAGTAATAAGGGTTACATAATATTCATTACTCATATATTTTATGAAAACTTTAATTATTTCTGTTAGCATATGTAAAACAAATGGTGAAGTAGGAATATATTTATAAGAAAATAATTTTGTTAAAGTACCAAAAAAAAATTTAAAAATCTTTATACAAATAATCTGTTGCATGTTTGCATAATAGGGGCAAATTGTGTTTGATCAACGAAAATACATTCTAAAAATTCTTGTAAACCAATTTCTTTACACCTAATTATTATGGCTAAACCTAAAAGATGGGGCCAATGATCAAAATATTTATCAAATTTTGCTTTCATTGAAGTAATAATGGTTACATAATATTCATTACTTATATATTTTACGAAAACTTTAATTATTTATGCTAGCATATGTAAAACAAATGGTGAAGTAGGAATACATATATAAGAAAATAATTTTGTTAAAGTATCAAAAACTTTTAGAAAAATCTTTATACAAGACTATTTGGCGCCAATTAAGTTCTGTGGGAGTCAGTACTCCTTCTATTGATGTTGTTACTTTTCTTTGTTTATAAGCTTTTTTAATATATTATACGTTGAATTCCACCTACTATCTATATCTAAAATTAATTTTTTAAATAGCATATTTTCTCATTGACAAATTTTTCTATATTCCAAAATTCAATTAGCAGAAGACATAATAAGAACAACTGCATTTTTTATTACAAGTACAGAAATCTCGTATACATGCATAGCTCATTTAACAATCAAGTTAAAAATATGAGCACAACAACGAACATAAAATAAATCACCATCAATAAGTAATTGTAAAGTTGATTTTAAATGGGCTACAGTTTGATTATAATATGCTGCATTATCTAAATTAATCGTAACTATTTTATTTTGTAAAGTCCACTCATATAATACATTTTTTATTTTTACACCAAGTGAATGACCAGTGTACGAAAGTTCAACTAATTTAAATGACATAATTCTTTTATTTAATTTCCAATCATTATCAATAAAATGTGCAATGATACATTGATATTCAAAACCATTATTTGACCACAGATCATATGTTAAACAAACTCTTCCATTCAATTTTTTAAAAATGTCAAATAATTCACTTTTAACATCCTCAAACTTCCTTAAAATCCTGTTTCTAGTAGTATTTCTTGAAAAACTTTAATATTGCGGTGCAAAACTTTTTTGAATCATTTCGGTAAAATCGAGACATTTACTAGTAGTAAAATATTGTTCTTTTTTAATAATATAATTAACTATAAAATTTTGTGTGCATATAGGATCATATGAAAATGTTTATAAATTACCAGTTGATAAAGCCTCTAATTGCATTTGACTTCTAATATCAGGTTGTTGACTTCGTAAATGCTTGTTAGCATACTTTTTTAGATGACTAGTACCCCCTGCAAATGTTGCACTAAGTAAATGTACACAATATTTATATTTTGCTTTAAATGTAATTGTACCATCAAGATTATTTATCGATATTTTTTCAAAATGTTCTCAAACAGTACTAGTTATGCCCCTAGATGATGATCCAATTGTTGGAAGAGGGATATTCGAAGGAGAATCAACAGATTCATGTTGTGTAGTATATGTATCAACATCGACATAAACATTAGAAATATTAGGATCCATAGTAATGTAAGTAAAATAATATATAAAAATTAACAATTAATTTAAATAATGTGTAAATAAAATGAGTAGAAAATAATAATTAATATATGTTCACAAATAATTAATGAAAAAAATGAGTAGCTAATAAATTTAATTAAACAAATCAATGTTACTGACTGGCGAATGCAATACATAAATTAGCTTCTTCTGATAAAAGTTTCTTGTTGCACAATTGCAATTGCCACTTAGGGATGACACTTCAAAATTAATTGACAGTTAAGAGAGATTGAGAGTTTAAGAGAGATTGAGAGAGTTTAAGACAAAGAGAGAATTATTTGTGAGATTTATTTTGAAAAAGAAGGAATATTTTTAGTAGTTTGAAAGATTGAAGTAAATTTATAAAAATAAAAAATTACCGTTGTATTAAAGGTAATATGATCATTTGATATTTATTTATTTTTAAGTTTGCAAAGGTGCTCATGTGCAATATATATATATATATATTCATTCGATGAACGTGAGTGAAGAGTGAGTTGAGTGATGCAAGCATAGCATAGGGGTAGGTCGTAGGGAGCGGTAGGGACAGGTAGTAGCAATTGAGCTGCAATATTTTTTTTTTGTTTTTCCTCGTTCATTGCAACAGTAACTTGAACTTGATTGTGAGTGAGAGTGATGTGATGCATGAAAGAGGCAGGGCTGGGGCATGGGTCTAGAATTATATATATATATATATATTCTTTTCTTTTTTTTTTTCATTCGTTCATTGCAAGGAAATGATCGTTGTGTTGTTTATTTTTTATTTTTTATTTTTGCAAGATCAATATTTTATTGATTTATAATTATTTAACCGTTGCAAGTTGCATTTTATTTTTATTTTTTTTGAAATTTGACCATTGGCAAAGAAAAGGCTGGGTTGGGCCGCCCACAAGGCCCGAATTTTTTTGGGGTCGAGCCGGGCTTCAAATGGATGGCCTAGGCCCAAGCCCAATGTACTGGGTTGGGCTCAGGCTTGGGCCTAACCGGGTCGAAATGAGCCATGCCCACCTCGAGCCTCTGGCGGGACTCGGGCCACCCATGGGCCTCGAGCCATTTTTACACCGCTGTCTATATCTTCAAATTTGAAGCATCATTCCTCTATTCTTAGCTCCAACCCATCCTTTATATCCTTCTCCATTTGGGAGGATGGATGTTTCATCCTTCAAATATAAAGGGAGTATGAAAAATGAAGGATGATCTCTGTAACACTATTCATATTTTTTAAATAGTAATTTTGTCCTCAAGCCCTTTTGCTTTTAAATTTATATACCAATTATATCTTTTTGTATTTTTTGTTATACGTTATAAAATACAAATAACTTTTAATATGTACATCTAAATTTTATAAATTTGATATCATTAAAAATATTAAAATTATATCTTTAAAATGAGTCTAATATCAAATATATTTAACAAAAAATTAAAAATTAAATACTATTAATGTTGTAAAATTTATTAGCTCCTGTACAATCCTAATTAATCACTACCATTTATACTTCACATTTTGTCGGTTTGAAGTGATGTGATAGAGAGGTAATGTGACTTAAATAAGATGATGTGACTTTAATAGGATAGTGACTTTTTAACTTTTTGACTTTTTTAGGTTATGACAAACAAGGTCTCATTTCTCCTCCCAACTGGTAGATGAAAAATATCACCATTTTAAATGTTGAATTCAAGTCATTAGCATAAGAAATAGTCTATATATGCAAATATCTTTCTCTTCTAAAATCACAATTCTTTTCCTATCAAAGCTACAATCATCTTTCCATATAAACTTTCTATAGAAATGTCTTCAAGTGTGGAATTGGGTGGAAAGTCAGTTCAATATGGTCGAGCATTCTTAATGGAATAGGATAAAAATCTATGTGATGCATCGCTTGAAATTTCTCAAGATCCTATAAAGGGTACTAATAATAAAAAAAGGAGAAGTTATGGGAGCGTATTAGTGCCAAGTATCATGAGCTCTCGCCAAGCTACAACACTAGCTCTCAAACAACAAAATCCCTCCAATGTTGCATGGCTTTAATAATGAAGGCCATTAACAAGTTCTAGTGATGTGTTCGATCAGTTGAACGCCTTAATCCCAATGGTGCTTCTGAGATAGATTTTGTAAGACTTCTTACACAATTCTGTTATGTATTATGTGTATAGGTTAATTTTATCTAACCTAAATTGTTACAAAATATGAGCATGTTCATACTATCCATATCTTACAAAATGTTGTTACTACTATAAATATTTTTTTAATTCTCATTTTGCAGATGGATCAAGAAAAAATCCTATTTGCACAAGACCTTGAAAAGTGGAAAAGATTCCAATATGATCGCGTATGGCCCATTCTTAAGGGGGTTGAGAAATGGCTTGACAATATTCCCAAAGAAAATCCCAAACAAGGGTATGATTACTTTGAAAGATTTCAAAATGGATCCCCTGCATCTGCATCCCTAGTAGCACCACCATCCATTGATTTGGATGCAAACGAAGAGACTATAGCAGAGGTCAACCATCATGTCGATTCATCGGGTCGTCCTATAAGAAGGAAGAAAGAGAAGTTGAGAAGGATGCAAATAGCTGATAAGAGTCATCTCCTTGAATCCATTGTTGAAGGAAACCAAGAAATCATGGTGAATTTGAAAAGAGGGCAAAAGCAAAGAGAAGGACGATTTGCTAAAATGGAAAATCATTCTGCAGCGCGTGTCCAACTCATGATGTTACAAGCTAAAAATGAAAGTAAAAGATTAAAACTTCAACGTGAACATCAAGAGAAAGAAATCATGGAGATAGACTTGAAATGCATTGCAAACCCAATTGATCATGAGTATTTTCAAAGGAAAAAAATAGAAATGTTATAACAAAATGATCAAGTACCCAACAAACTTGCAATGTCATTGGAATTAGGTGATCTAAGGTATTTTCTTTTTCCAAATATCTCAACAATTGCCCGATAAAACTTTTTAATACATAGAATGGCAGTAGACTCACTAATTCGTATATGTTCATCCGTAGAATCAGCCGCCGTTCCATATGCCGACATTCGAAATGCACTTGTTACTTTTTGCAAAGTAGACAATCCAAGTCTACCAAGGCCATCCTTCTTTTGCACAAAGAAATCGTCGTGAGCTCTCACGACATCAACAATCTATAAATATAAACTTCTACACATTCAAAATCTTTTGCGAAATAAATTTTCCTCATAAGTGGGGTTCTCTGAGAAGTAGGCATTCCATAATTGAGCATGACCTTCTTCCCTTTTACGATCTCTCACTATATGTCCATGAACTCAACCTTTACGTATCAATTGACCATTTTCTTCAAGATATTGAGCTATGATGATGTTGTTGGAGGCATATAAATAAAGTAATATATCTTTTTTTTTCTTTCCATGCTATCATTTCTTCTTCATAATCAAGGAATGGTAGTAAATAAATATGCTCTACATCCATTTCTTCATGAATATACTCAGCATCCATTTCTTCTTCATAATTGTGCTCTGCATTCATTTCTTCATTAACATGCTCTGCATCCATTTTTCTTCAGAAGTCTACAGTTATTTCCTTTGTTGTATGAGGGTTTGGTTTTTCTATAAAATAATAGATGATAAGGAAAATAGATGGAGGGAAAATTGATGGTTAATTTTGGAGAGAAACATTTAGAGAAGAAAATGAAATGATTATAATTTTGATGTGACATTAAACTTTTACACTAAGAAAAATGACTAAAATAATCTAAATTGAAGTATCAAATAAAAAATAAACAAACTGTAGCAAAAATCACTTTTTTTTTCCTTCAACAAAAACCACTTAAACATCATTCTTTTGGCATTTTTAGCTATAAAATTACTAATCTAGTTCACATAAACCAACTTATAAGCTAAATTATTTTCGATAGATAAAATTACTATCTATTTAATCTTTCATTTGACATAATTAAATAAAGGTAAGGTAATAAACTTTAATTTCAAAATAGTAACTACAAGCAGTATAGTCAATCGTATTCTATATATAATCCATACATTTGGAAAATAACCATTCAATAATTTTAAATAATTCATCACATCAATAAGTTTTTTCATTTCTTTTAATAAAAAATAACTATTCATTTGTTTTAAATAATTTATCATAAAGGGCCTCACTTAATATAATAGTATAGATAATTGAATTTTGTTTAGACCTTTAAATTCCAATGAGATTTTTTTTAAGGCTAATATAATAATCAATTAAATTTTGGGACCTTTTTTCAGTTAATTTTCCAGGGTCCAAAGCGACGACTTCTCTAGCTTGTGCCTAAAACCGACCCCGATTCACATACACCCAGAACCCGCTTAACTCGTCCGACCCGGGATGCCTCAAACGGTTTCGAACAAAATCACAATCTACTGCGGTTTGATATTGATTAATTTGGCGAATTCACAATTGGAAATAAAACTGAGAAATATACAACCGGCCAACTCGACCCGACCGAACAATTATTAATTATATATCATTATTATATTTGTCTTGGAATTATGCGTGTAGTCTTATCTTTCACAGTACAAATCTATCAAAAGTTTGATAGACTGTTCACTGCCCCATTATTGCACTGCTCAACTTTTCCCACTTTCCCATAACCATTCAAATCAATCTCTATTGTAAACGCTAGTATCAAGTCCAAAAGCCTTCTCTCTCTTTTGTCTCTCTCTAATTTATCTCTTTGTTATTTATTTATTTTTTTTGCTTCTTTTTCCTTTTCTTCTTTGAGAGACAAGTTCATCTCTCTCTATCTCTCTCATATATACCTGTATTTATTTTCCCTCCACACTTTGGACGATGATGGTAATTGTTAGTTGTATATATCTATATTACCATATTGTGGATTACCATATTGTGTTATAATCATATTGTGCATTATCATATTAGCTTCTTACCATATTGTGTTATTACTATATTGCTCATTACCATATTAGCTTCTCCTTCTCCTATATAAAGGAGTGTTATATTCATATTCATTCATTGAAATATACAGAGTTCTACTCTCTCTCTCTCTCTCTCTCTCTCTCTATTCTTATAACATGGTATCAGAGCTTAGGGTTTCCTCCTAGCCTCTTCTTCTTCTTTTTCACATTGTTTTTGTTTCTCAAGTAGACTGATTCATTCTCACGTTGGTTTGTGCATATCTAGTCCTTCTCTGTTTCAACGATTAGACTATACTAGACTCTTTGTCTCTTTAAGATGAACCCAACGCCACCAGAATCATCTTCATCGGAGCTTACACACGCTGCCCAAAGTTTGGCCACAAATTGTGTCGCTGCCAAACATACCCTACGCGCCTTTTGTTCCCGTTTACGTTAGCGACTGACGTAAGCCCTCAGTTGCCTCGCGCTATCTTGCGTCACGTCCTCCTTTGCTATCGTAAGCTGTGTGTTTCTGACTTCATCGCTGACGTCAGCCCTGGTCTCCAGTGCGCCACGCCTCCTACCTATTATCTTGCGCCACACGCTCCTCTACTAACGTGCATCGTGCTCTATCCCCTGTTTGGTACTATTTCTTATTTTGAATTTTTTTTAAAATTATTTTTGACCCTATTTTGATTGTTTTGGCCCGTTTCCTGACTGTTTTCAACATTCCAGATTCACTGGTGCACTCAATTTTACCTAGGCCTACTTCGATAGCATCGGACCCTTTTTGTGAGTCATATTTTGCTCACTCAATGGATCGTTCAAACAACTCTTTTCAGCACAGTGGTTCTTCTAAACCACCTATGACTCATAGTCAGTATCACTCTTCGGCTTATTTTGCCTCAACTGCTACTCATTACCAGCCACATACTTAGCATTCTCTAGGTTGCTCTTCTGCACCTTCACCAACCTACACTCTTCATGATATTGAAGCCATTGTGAAAAAGGTTATTTCTATTTCTACCTCTATCTCTACCTCTGGTACACCCTTAGTGTTCTCTCAGTCATTCTAGGTACCTCTTCTTGGTATTTTGTTTTAGCTTGTTGCAATCATATGACCTCTAACCCTACACTTTTTTCTTCTATTACATATTCTTCTAATTTACTAGTTATTCACACTGCTGATGGCTCTCAAATGCATGTTAGTCATATAAGTCATACCTCAACTTCTAATATCTCTCTGCCTCACACTTATCTGATCCCTAACCTTACACTTAATCTTATCTCTATTGGTCAACTATGTGATCTTGGCCTCACTATTTTTATTTCTCCAATTGGTTGTGTTGTACAGGATCCGAAGATAGGACAGACTCTTGGAATAGGTTGTAGATATGGTTGTCTGTACGAGCACATCCATCTACGCATTCCATCATCCAGTACTTCTCCTATCCAGACAGCTGCTTTTGCTACTACTAGTTTTCTCTTTTTTTTTTTATGGCATTCTCAATTAGGTCATGTGTCTTTTGGTCGCTTACGATCTCTAGTTTCAAGTGGTCAATTAGGTTCTGTTCCAAATGATAAAGTAGACTGTCTATCTTGTTAACTTGCCAAACAACATGCTTTACCATTTCATACTAGTACCGCTATGTCTTATACACCTTTTGATCTCGTAGATTCTGATGTTTGGGGACCTTCACCTAATACCACTATAGGGGGATGTAAATATTTTGTTATATTTGTCGATCATTTCACTCGTTTTACTTGGTTATTTCTTATGAAATCTTGTTATGAGTTACACCAACTATACTATGATTTTTCACAAATGGTCAAAACTTAGTTTTCTTCCACCATCAAAATTTTTCATGCTAATAATGCCTAGGAATATAAAAAAAAAAAAAAACTCATTTTTTGAGATTTCTTCGTCAAAATGTTACACTTTCTCACTATTTTTGTTCTGGTACCTTCTAACAAAATGGTCGCACTAAGCGTAAACATTGCCATATCTTAGACATTGTTCGTGCTCTTTTAATATCTTTATCTTGTCCTAAACATTTTTTTAGGGGAAGTTGCTCTCATAGCCGTCTATACTATCAACTGTGTCCCTTCCCTTACCATCAACAATCAAACCCAATATGAGCATCTATATGGCACACCTCCTGCCTATATTGGTCTTCGTGTGTTTTGATATGCTTGTTTTGTTCTTCTTCAACCTCATGAGCATTTCAACCTCATGAGCATACCAAATTAGAACCTCGTGCCCATTTGTGTTGTTTCTTGGGGTATGGGATTGAACATAAAGGTTATCGTTGATAGGATCCACTTTCTAGTCGTCTTCGTGTCTCTCGCCATGTGGTATTTTGGGAACACAAGACGTTCTCTTATCTATCTAAGTTTCATTTGTCCACTTCTCTTACTACACCATTCTTTACATATCCTTCTCTTCTGTTTTATGAGCTTGATACAAACCCTACTTCTGACATGATGACTCCGGCCCATCTTGAGGATTCTGCTTTGACTCCTGGTCTTACTGCCACTCTCTGATCCTGAGCCTGCTCATGCTCCTGCTCCATCTCTTAGTCCTGTTTTCATTCCCTTTCACAGTGAGCCTCCTGCATCCTTTCATTCTACTACATCATCTTCTATACCAGAGGTACCTCTTCGTCATTCTACTCGGGTAATACAACCTTCTGTACTTGTTTGTGATTTCATTATTGGTTCTACCACTTTTTTTTCTCATAAACCTACTTCCTATCAATAATCTTGCCCTAACCCTCTTTGGCAACAAGCTATGACTGATGAACTGCAAGCTTTTGATAAAACTCATACATGGGAAGCAGTTAACCTTCAATCCTGGCAAGAGTGCTGTTAGTTGCAAATGGATTTACAAGATCAAAACTCATTCTGATGGTTCCATTGAGCGTTACAAAGCTGGACTTGTTGCCCGAGGGTTTACTCAAGAATATGAGATTGATTATGAGG